CCCCCCTCAGTTAGGTCCATCTTGGGGTCCCCGGGCGCCCCAGCCCCCTTGGGAGGTCAGAGCCCCGTCTGCCTCCCAGCCATTCCACCAGCCAGCTCCTGAAACTCCCCCTTCAGCGACCCCTCCCACAGCCTTTGTTCAGTTCCCCGGGCAAAGACATCACCTGGCCTCCAACCCCTTCCTGGGTTCTCATGTTACATGCTCAGGTATCCTCCCTCGGTCAGTCTCCCATCCCCCAATGCAGACCGTCACTCCACACTCTCCACTCAGCATTCAAAGACCACATTAGTCCCAGTTCATCACAGGCGGCCTTCGGTGGCTTGCCTGCAGGAGGTCCGCCAGTCGCTGAAGCCTGGAGCGGCAAAAAAGCTAGAGCCGCCCCTGAAGTCTTGGTGCAGTTTTCTGTTTTTATTTGTACATTCAGGCAGTTGAAGGGATCCCTCATGACAGGTTTTTCATAGAAGCCAAACTGCGGCTGATTCCTTTCTCATTGGAGTTGAGCGTTTACATAGCAATAAGTCCCTAGTCAATTTGTCTTCTAGGTCTGAAATTGATCAGACCAAGGGCTGGGGGACAATGTTGATAAATCTCTGCATTAACATCTTCACAGAACTTTCACATGACTTTGTATTATGCCTCTAATTTCATACCACTTTGTATCAGATCCTTATCTAGAAAACTTTGTCCTGAGCCTTGGGATAATGTTAAGAACATGGCTTTTTGCTCAGAGGAGAATAAGATCCCCCTCGTCCATCACTTGCCCGTTGGCTGAGCCAGGGGCGGCTGAGGAAGGCGGGAGGCGGCACCCCTGGGGAGGGGCTGGAGCCAGACCCCAGGACAAGAACACGGGGCCCGGGGGCTCACTGAAGCTCAGACACGTTGGCGGCCTCGGGGGTTAGGAGCAAACCGAACAGCAGCGGGACCCCCCCGGAGAGACGCAGCACGAAGGCCCAACGGCCACACACAGATTTTGCGGCTGGTGCAGATTTGCGTGAGCGGGAAGCGGCGATAAATGTGAGGTGTCGGGCAGAGGCCCCCGGTCTCGTCTTGTCAACACGGGAGCGACAATCCGGCTCCACCCCGCATCGAACTCACCTGCCAGTGACGTTATGGGGAGCAACTAATGGGGGACAACAACAAGCCAGAGTGTGTGTGCGCGCGCGCGCATGAGAGCATGTGTGTGCGTGCGAGAGAGAGCGTGTGTGGCGAGTCAAGCAATAGTTGATGTTTTACATAAAGCCCCAGCTCCTGGAGCAAAGTGATTCTGAGA